ATGCATCCTCATTCACTAATCTTAAACATATTCTTAGGTAATAAAAGCAGTGTGGCGAACTTTTGAATAACAATAATCTTATCAAGAACAAGATTCTTGTCGTCGAATGTGAATAGTAGCCACGGTTCAAAGCTGATAAAAAATCGGAGTATAAGCTGCTATCGTTTGGAAGTAGAGTCGCAATAAGTGGCGTAAATACCACTGAAATGCAAGTGCTTTGAGAATACCAAACTCCTGGATTTTCCTCTAGGAATACACCGAGAATACATATCGAAAACACTGGCTCTCTCAAGCTAATCCAAAAATGCTTCGAGAAGGGAACTCGTCGAAAGCAAGCAATGCGTTGAGGCCTGAAACAACAGTAAGAATTCTGGCACCGAAAGCACTCCAGCGCAATCAGAGCCCCTTTTCTTCAAGCAGTGTGAATGGTAGTTGTTTCACAGTTTAAGACCTACAATCGTGCTAGCAAGTTTTTGGTTTTTCCCGACATTTGTCATGAGACGGACGTCAGCTGGGCCAGTAGTGTCACGTTGCTTGGGGCGGCTTAAATTCACAACTTTCAACATGCAAGACTACAGTGAATGCCGAGGATTCACACACTCAAGCTTGCTCTTTTTCTGCATACGAAAGATTGATGTTTGTGGGTGATAATATTACATTTTAATTCCGGACAAAGATACGCAAGTGCTTTCGTAGAACTTGCGCTTATTCGTTTGTCTATTCATCGAGCAAGCAGGATGGCGAAGGTATTGCAGTTTGAATATTTGACGCGTCTATGCTAGAAGGGTATGTTTGAACGAAGATAGCCTACAGGCTTGCGTAGGTACAGTCAAAGTTTTCATAAATCTGTGAGTTCCTGCTTCAACGTAGTTGCAGATTTGACTGAATTGTCCAGAACAAAAATTTTACTAAAGTCACAGACTCAACCTGTTTTTTAGAAAATAAACTCTTTTATTTAATCTCCAAAAAATAACTTTTTTAAAAGTTGAAAAATTTTTCTATTTTAAAATGTTTTTTCCTCCTTCCTTTTCCTTTTCACGCCATTCCCATTCTTTTTAATCCGCAGTCAGATCGTTTCCCTTTCTGTTTCTTTCTTTTGTCTTTCTCATTTCTTTTCCTTTTCCATTAAACACTGCGACCTTCATACTGACGAGGTCTGAGTTAAGACGTATGGACTGAAACGTTTTATCTTATTCCTACATTCTTTTCTTACGCTGTTCTTTCTTTCTGCGTTCTATCGTTCCTTCGCCATTTAGGCTTCCAAGGTTAACTTAGCTGCTGCAATTGGCTACAATCCTTTGTGCCAGTGAAAGCTAAATCAGCTTTTGTAAGTGTCTAATTTTCACGTATGGATACGGTAAATTTGAGAGTGTATCTTTCGACAACACCTTCATGCAAAATTCACGGTTGTCCTTTAGACTTCGTGCAGCTCCACGGTGCAGCACTTTCGCCCCAGTTGACTCTTTTTTCCCCTTGTGCAGAAAAAGGACAAAACACTGCCATTACGAATGCAGTGCTAAACACTGAAGCAACAACTCCATTGTTGTTAACAATCTGACTGCTTCAAATTTAGCGCAGAAATGCATTCATCTAGAGCCTGATAGGCTTGCCACCTGGATTGTTTTACAAAAAGGCGTATGTAAGTAGATGTATTCAAGAAAATATTTAGTACTGGTGCAACAGTAGCAACTACTTCTTAATAATTTCACTGTAGTATTTTCTGTCGCAACCTCTCATGCACCGTTCTCTCAACTTTCCATTGCATAGAGCAGAATTAAAAGGCATATATGCACATATGTGTATACAATCTTTTTGCATGTGTATTTCTTTACATATGCATTCTTTTTTAATATATATCACGATTAATATCTTTAATTTTCTGCCTGTCTTCAACCAAGATCGAGAAGAAACCTAATTAGCACAGAGTGGAGAATAATATCAGGGATTATGCCACCTAGGAATCAAAAGGAGTGTTTACGCTCAGGAGTGTGTCTGAATTTCGGCTTTAAGCTCATGCGTTATCCTCTTCATTCGCGAGAAGCGCCTGCAGTTAGGACTGTTTCCAAGACGGCTGTAAATGAAGCTTATCGTCTTCTCCACATATTCAAATCACCTTTTCAGTCCTGTATGGGATTGTCATGACATATTAAAAACGCTGATTCATTCAAAAAAATTAAATTTATCCCTCGGTATATACTCTCACTCCTTTCTCTCCTCCAACTTCGTCATTGCGCGCTACCACCTCTTTAAATTGCAGTCAGCCTACGCCACCACTACTGTTGAATTAGATTATGTAATGGGAGGCCATAATTCTGCAGCATTGATTTGCTGTACATAGAAGGTCTACCTCCCGCTCTTTAACTAAGGGCAGACCTGGTAGACCTCCGCTATATTTTACGTTTGTGATGGAGGAGGTGGAAGAACGACGTGCTAATTGAGTGGATGGAAACGAAAAAGCGTCTCATGACAAGAAGGATACGAAGGGAAAAATTAGTCCGGCGTATTGGTACACTCAGTGCTTCTCGTTCAGAATGACAGTGTTTTTGATGTCCATCGTACTGTTGCAGATGGTGTCGATGGTTGCCAAAGGCTTGGTAATTTTTTGAAACAGTGCTTCTTATACAGATCTGGACAGAGAAATTGTCAGTAACGGTACCTCTTCGATAAAGCGATGATATTTGCCGGATTTGAACGAGTTATTCTATTTAGCTTTTGCTACAGACTGGTCATCGACAAAAAATACTTTGCAGAACTGCAGTTCGTAAATTTCTATCATCATGGTTCGCGGCACTTTTAGATAAAGTTTGCTCCCATTCATTTTCACAGCATGCGAACTGAATCTTCGACTCTCACATTATCCAGATAATTTTCTTCTCATTGGTTGTCGGAGGTAAA